AGGATAGATATGCGATCTGGACTAGATAGATTTTGATATGATCTAATTTTATAAGTTTTTTTTAAATTAGGTTTTGGTTTGTTTTTTTTTTGAAGGAAATGGTCGGATTAGGTTGGGGTTTAGGATAAAAATCTCTGTCTCGACTCGACTTGACCTGAAATAATAATATAATTATCCCTTATATATTTAGTGAAAATTATTATAATACAATCTCTCTATTTGTTCCATTTAGGTTTTTATTTTACCTAATAAAAATGAGAATTATATATATCAGGTTGAATCTGATGTGAGTTTTTATCTTAAAAATTAGACTGTACTTCAAATCAGATAAAACCTTTTTAAACCCGAATCGGATCGAGTAACGAGTGAAAGAATAGATTACTCTAGATGCATTTTCTCAATTCAATCCGACCTATGCCCGTATCTATATGCAAGTTTATTTTTAGTAAATTGTCATAAATGATAAGTATATTTTCCTTTTATCCTCTCTTTTACATTATTAATGATTCTGTATGCTAATAACATGTAAAATATTTGAAACCTAATTTTAATCTAATTACGTATTAACTTTAATATTAATTCTTTTTTTCTTATTCTTCCTTTGTATCTTTGCTTTTATATTTTATTTAATCTTTATTTTCCATTAAAAACTTATAAAGAACGGTAATGATCTAATTTAAATTAATTTATGGGGTTTACTATAATAAAATGAAAATGAAAATTTGTCATTTATTTTGGAGTATCGTACATCAGTAGCCATTAATTTATGTTGAAATGATCTTTTTAGTTATTGAGATTTTGAAAGTTATAAAATCGTCATTAATTTTTTTAAGCGGCTACAGAATGATTATTAAAATTTATCAAACTATCACAAAATGATCGTTCCACTTATCAAACTGTCACAACATGATTCTTAAACTTATCAAAATTTGTCACTAGTTTATAATGTGTAATGACCATTTTATTACGGTTCAATAAGTTTAGTGATCATCTTACAACTTTTAAAATTTCAATGACAAAAAATCATTAATATAGTTTAATAACCACATGAGTACTTTTTTATGTGACATTAATTAAATTACAATAAATTTCTCTAGTATGTATTCCAAAAAAAAAACTACTCCAAAAGACTTAAATGCTATTTGTGTAATTAATATAGTTTAATTTTTATTTAACTTTTTATAGTTATAGATTTGTGTATTTTATTATAGTTGTACATGTTTGATTAATTCCTAATATTATCTGTTATAAAAAATTAATTCATGACATTAATTTAATCAAAAGTTTAATAAATAATATAGATATATAGAATATATTTTTAACAAATAGGTTTGTGGATATTAGAATCACTTTCACTTGATGCAGTCCTAATTTTAAAATATTATAAATAAAATCATTGGTTAATGGAGTGGGAGTGAAGTGTTGGTACGGGAGTAGGGATGGCAATGGGTCGGGTCGGGTCGGGTTTTTGGGCCACCGACCCGACCCGAGAAGAAAGGGTTTTTCACCCGTGACCCGACCCGACCCGACGAAATTAAGGTTTCACCCGACCCGACCCGAATATATGACTTAGAAACCCGACCCGACCCGAAATAATAATAAAAAAAAATTTATTCAATGAAAACAGTGACTTAATTGAAAAAAATTATATATGGAGGGACATTATTGTAATTATCCCTAAATATACAGGATAAAATTATATATATTTTTCGGGTCGGGTCGGGTCGGATTTTTTTCACCTTAAACCCGACCCGACCCGAACAGTACATTTAAAAAAACCCGACCCGACCCGACCCGAAGCCAATTTTTTTTTAAAAAAATCCGACCCGATCGGGTCGGAACCCGTCGGATTCGGGTTGAGTTGCCATCCCTATACGGGAGTGATTGGATATAGAATAATAATATTTTGAGTTAATTGCGTAATATGTTTTTAAATTAGTCTTTAAAATTTTTAGCATTACATTGTAATCCTTAAAATATGACTCTCATTTTAAAATTATACTTAAACTTTTGATCATTCTAATTTAGTCTCTAGTTTGTGACTCTCATTATAAATTAATCTATTAACTTTTAAGCATTTCAATTCCATCCTCAAGCTATTGATATATATATTAATCATGTTCATTGTTAGTAAAATTATTATAAAAAAATGTCAACTATCATATTATTGGCGGAACATCATGGGCTTGGCCCCACCAATTATTTTTAAAGTATTAATTAATATTAAAAATATGTATATTTTAAAAAATAAATAAAGAAAAATTTACCCGATCTCCTTTAATAAAAATTATATTTATGAAAAATAAAAACAAAAACATTTTAACCCCGCTTTAATAAATTTATAGTTTTGTCCCAGATGATATAAATACTTATAGTTATTATATAATAATATGATGTGACATAAATAATAATTAATGGTTTGTTTAAATAAAATAATAATTAACTTTGAAACGTACAAATGATTACAAATAAATTGAGAGAACAAAAATAAAAAACAAATGACCTCTCAATTTCATTCTAAATAATAATTTGGAGAGACATGATACGACATTACTTATTATTTATACCATATCATATTGTTACATGAATGCACTTAACAAATTAGGGATGAAAATGAAAGATTTAAATAATATAACTTAATGAAGGTATGAGGTGTAGAATGCAAGGGGATGGGAGAGGAAGCTTTAATGGAGGAAAAAGGTATGTCTTGGACTTATCCTCTCAATTTATATAATTTATCTAAAGTCCAAACACACAACACGACAAACGGCTACTTTTTGTGTGTCGTAACCCTTAAGGTACGTAAGATTATCAGTGAGAATGTAAGATTAATAGAGAATAGGATTACTGGGAATGTTGTATTTTGTGTTTGATTGACTTAGCAAGAATGTAAGATTACCGTGTTTGGTTAAAGGAATAAAAGATTATTGGAATATATATTTGACCAAATTATCCTTATTATATATTTGTATAATATTACAAGTTGAAAAATATTTTATATTTTCTTTAAAAAAAATTAAATTCATAATATTTATATATTTTTTACAAAATTTAAAATAAATAAAAATTTAATGAAAGAATAAAATTTTATTTTAACCCTTGAACTTCATATAAAATTTTAATTATAGATTTTTTTTGTAAATCTAAAATAATTTAAGGATAAATTTATAATTTAACATTCGTAGAATTTTTATTATTCAATAATAGAATAAATATATTTTTGAACAAAATAAAAATTTAAGAGCATTTTAGTCCAAAACTCCGGTAATCCAACAATACCTAAAGAAAGGGAGGTAATGACATTCCCGATAATATACTCAAAAAATTCACTATTAATAATCTTACATTATTGAAAATAGGATTCTCATACTAACTAAACGGGAAATGTGGATTCCATTCTCATGGGAATTACACATTCCCCGTCCAAAGACCCCTTAAACTAATATCTTCTGTCACGTGTCTTCTTGTTACGCATCCTTATCCTTGTGGTCCCCCCTTGTGCCCACCAAGGCGGCAGATGCCGGATGCCATTGTTCACTCTATTTTCGCTGCATTAAGAACTTTTTTTGTGTATGAATTAAAAAAAATAAAAATAATTTAAATATTATATAAAAAACTAATATTTACACATCTAATTTTGATATAGGTATTTTAAATTAAAAGTATAAACAATAAGAAAGTTGAACCTTAAAATTACAGTAAAAATAAGTAATTTACTCATTATTTTTTATCATTTAAAGTTTCTCCTTCTTTTTTCTTCTTATTTTAATGCAATTGAATTAAACAAAACACAATTAAAAACGTGTTTATATGGACAACCTTATCGGGATGAATCCTTAACCTTTCAAAAATTGGAAGTTCAAATTCATCTCTGAATTTCTTATATCCAATTAATATTTTAAAATTTTAAATTTAATTATTTTATCTTTTAATTAATAATCCTATATGAATTAATATACTTTAGTAGTTAAAGGATGATTGTTATTCTTAGAGGTCCTAGGTTTGAGCACCATAAATCTATTATTGTCGAGTGATAAACAGTTCCTTTTATTAGTTAGTGTCATATATCACATTACATTGTTGTCAACTGATATTTCCATAAATCTATTATTTCTAACATTTTTAAAGAATTGTTTTAGAGTTTTTCTTTATAAACTATATAAATTTCATGTCGAACAAAATTACAACATATTTGATATTTCTGAGGAATATTTGGGAGATAACGTTGCAGACAAATGTGTAATGCAATTAAGTCACTAGAGTAGGCGAACCATACAATTATATATACATCCACATATATACAGTGCCGTGGCTGGGCGGTGTGAGATGGGCGACCGCGCAGGCCCCAAAAAGATAAGAGCCTAAAAAAGTTTATCTATAGTGGCGTTTTTCTAATAAACGAGACTATAGATGGATTTATTGCGCGTTTATCAGAAAAATGTCACTATTGTGGCGGTTTTTTTAAAAAATACTCCTATAGATGGACCTATTGTGGCGTTTGTAAAAAAACGCCACTATTGTTGCCCAAAAATTAAATATATCTAGAAAATAAGGGTCTCTTTTAAGAATTTGTACAACCCCGACAACCTAACCACGGCACTGTACATATATAATTGATGTTTATATTAGTTTTTTCTGTTTTAATTTAGTTTATTCTTTAAGTGTTTTAATATTATTATACTATTTTAGACAGTACAGTATACTCTTATATAACAACATATAAATTTATAAAAAAAATATCTCGAGGAAAAAATATAAATAAATTAGAAGATATTTGTTATAATATAAGATAATAATATAAGAAAAATATGAAAACACACAAATACTAAAAAACTTATATATATATATATAACTATATGCAGTAAATTTTATACATTATCTATCACATATCTTGACCAAATAAATTTAATCGAATCCGAATTCTAATCTAAAAGGAAATAAACCGCTCTTTCTTTCTATATAATCAAACCCAGACCAACAGCAGACAGCACCAAAAACAGCTTTATCTCCCTCTCTTTCTCTCTCATTTTCTCTTTCTGAACCGAAGATGGTGGCACTAGAAATGAGCGTCGGAGCAGCCATGAACGCGAAATTAGTCGGGAGTGGCAGCGAGACCATGGTGCTGGCGCATGGGTTCGGGGCGGACCAATCAGTGTGGGACAAAGTCCTGCCTTGCTTGACACAACATTACCAGGTTGTCGTCTTCGACTGGACTTTTTCCGGTGCCATAAAAGATCCGAACCTCTTCGATCCTTTGAAATACTCTTCCTACGATGCCTTTGCCGATGACTTGATCGCTCTCATGGACGAGCTCCACTTGAAAAACTCCGTCTTTGTCGGTCACTCCATGTCGGGTATGATCGGTTGCATTGCTTCCATCAAAAGACCTCAGCTTTTTACCAGGCTCGTTCTTGTTGCAGCTTCTCCTAGGTATTTTCATTTTTCTTTTTCTTTTTAAATAAAACTCCGAACATGAACTATATATCGAACATAAAAATATTAAAAAATGATTTTTTTTTATTTTCTTTCTTGCTTCAGCTAAATCTTAAACTTTGAATATTATACATGAAATAAAAAAATATTATGATATATGTACATATATCCATAATAATTTATTAAATATAACTATTCTCTTTTTAATTATTTAGTTTTAGTATTAAATTAATACCGTATCCATAGTTTTATTGATTAATTTTTATTTTGAAATAATTGAAGTATATTTCCATATCAAGACGAATTGATTTTTATGATAATTATAATGTTTGATTTTCTAGGTACATTAACATAGATGATTACGAGGGTGGATTTGACGAAGCGGCAATCGATGGCATCTTATCAAGCATCGAATTCGATTACGAAAATTGGACATCGATATTTCCGACGCTCGCTGTCGATAATTCGGACCCAATCTCGGTAAAAAAGCTGGAAAAATGTTTGAAGAGGATGAGACATGAATTCGCCATCCCGTTGGCGAAAACGGTGTTTCGTAGCGACGAAAGGGACATCCTCGACAAGGTTAAGACGCCTTGCACCATTGTTCAGACTACGAAAGACATTGTCGTGCCCGGTTCAGTTGCCCACTACATGCAGAAGAAGATCAAAGGGAAATCGACGGTGGAGCTTGTCAAGACCGATGGCCATTTCCCTCAGTTGACTGCACATCTTGAGTTCCTTGCTGTGCTTGGTGGAGTTTTAGGCTTTGAAGTTTGATAAAAAAAATGAAAAATAGTATAAGGTTAGAAATAAACTCTATGGTCATTGGGAAATATATATTTATTTTATGGCTTAACATGTGTGTGGAGGTGTGGCCCTTTTGTAGAGTTTTCATGGGAAATATTAGTTTGGCTTATATTATAGTTATTATTATAACTATTTTTTATTTAATTTCTTTTAATAATTATGAAAGAATTGATATTCGATATACCGAGATCTTATAATTTTATACAACGTCTATAAATAAAATTATAACACATCATGAAGAATAAATTTAATAAATTTAATTTAAACATTTTACGATGATATGTTATTATCTAATTTATTGATAATATATATAATTTTTACAACATTAATGCACTAAATACAATTTTTTAAAAGTGATTTTGTGTATAGTAAATGTAGAGGAATTTGAATTAAAATTTAGAAAATTTATTTATTAATTTATTATAACATCAAATAAAATAATAATTCAAATAATATTCTTTAATTTATTATTTGGTCCCAAACTTGGTTCGCTCAATTTTTCAAAAACAAAAGCAACTAACTGTTCAGAGTTGGGGCTTTAGCGCTATTAAAGGATCAAATCAAAACGGCGCTCAAAAGTATTTATTCTAATATTTTTGCGGTTGTTTTATTACTCTTCCCTCCTGTCTTAGACCGCGTTTTCGACTCAATTTGCCAAGTTTCCGCCGGTCCTCCGCTCTCTTCGCCGCTGCTCAACCGGAATCTTTCCGGCCAGATTACGTGTCAAAGCATGTCTTACTCTTCCGAAACTCCCCGCCAACTCTCCGAACCGTCACCAACGAACTCAAGGTGAGTTCCCTAATCAGCTTTTGTCTTCGCAGAGTTGACTCCTTTTGTACTGGATTTCAAACGGAATTGACCGTGATCATGTGGTTTGAGATTCTGATTTTCCTTTCATCTTCCTGCGGTTTCTTGGCAACCAGACAGAGTTAATGACGTGTTATTATTAAATTATTGGATTTTGCGTATACGTATCTGCATGCATCAGATTTTAGCATGGTTATTGTTTTTTACGTCTCATTTATGGAAATGTACTGAAACAGGACAAGGAGGCTGATCTGTCGTTGAAAATTGAAGAAGGATTTGGACCGAATGGACTTGGAATTCTATCAATTACTGATGTATGTACTCCCCCCCCCCTTCTCTTTTGTGGAAAGTTGTTTGTTCATGAGTTGATATTCATTTGCAGTTATTTCTTCTATCTGATTTTATCTTTATTTGTTATGACTTTGTAATCATTAGTAATTTATTTACGGGTTCCAGGTTTTCCTTCATTACGTCGAAATCTTCTATGCCTTTCAGATAGGTACAGTATTGGTTTCAAAACAAAATTATCTTATAACTCAATCTAGGAAGAGAACTGAAAAATATTCTATAAATTTCCTTAGCAGATTAGCTGCCTTAACTGAAGATGTGAAGAAGGAACTTGAGGATCCTCAGAGTAGGTAATTGTATTGCATCTTTTTTTTTTTTAATTTAGTTTTCCTATTAAGCGAAATGTTTTTATTGTAATTGTTAAATGAAAGGGAGCTTATGCAATTTAGGAAAGAATCAAGCAAAGGGTATCATATCATTATCTCTAATTTGTATTATCCCGATGATATCTCAATCTTAATGTATGTAATTACATTTATTGCTCTCACAGTTTATTAAAAATGCATGACCGTTTATTCTTAAATAGAGCGTCTGGTTAAGGCATCATGTTGGATACTGTTTCCCTTATGCCCTGTTCTTCTTAACTGTCTCTTACCTGTAGATACAATTTTAGATGATCCAATCAGTGATGTATTTGCATCAATGAGTACTATACATGAAAGGAACAGTGACGAGTTCCATGTTTGCATTTTCCTCATTATCTTTGGTTGGTTCAGAGACCAGTCCCATATTTATATTGTCTGTAGGATCATATATCATATAGCATGTGCACCATGTGCCTATGCCATATGTGATTGTGCTCAAATGTTTAATTGATCACGCATGCCCTGCCTTGTAGGTATGCATCACACTGTGTAGCCAATATTTGGCCTCAGGTTGTTTTGTCAGAACTTCAAGTGGGTATGTTATGTCCACTTTTCTGCTTAGAAAAATAATGGAACTTAAGCATGTATTGATCTTTTCGTAAGTTATGAATTGCTCTGAAGAAATAATATCAAACATTTGTTTATTTTTGTCATCAAGCTCCATCTAATATAACATCTGACATAGGGTTTTCTAAACGTTGATTATTGGACTCTGCTCTGTAGCTTTCAGAGCTCTGGGAAAGCTAACATTTGATGTGGGGTTGTTGGTGGCACATCACTGTGATAGCTCAGGTAAATTTCCCTTGAATTCCAATTTTTAAATACAGACAATATTAAACTGGATAGTTGCATTTCTAGACCTGAATTTTACATACCAGCTTCAATGTCTGATTACAGTCTTTTATAGTTGAGATTAGACATTTTAAAATCAAAATGTGGCTACATTTCAACATTTTGAAATTTGTATATTTAGCTCTGGCCCTATACCACGATGTATGTTCTGGATTGAGCCTAGTCCTTTTGATTAAGTTGGCAACCGTTTGTACTTTCTTGGTTCTAAAACCTGTTAAATTTATCTTAAAACAGAGGACAAGGTCTTTTTGTTCGCCATATTGAGTTACTCTTCAACTTTATCATAACATGATCAATATCTAGGAGGATGAAGATGCAAAAGGATGATGAAGATCTTGAACAAATACTTCTTCGCTCTCGTTGTCATAAAGGGCGTTTGCTTTATTACTTCCCTGCACAACTGAGGTCCCCCGGTAGCTTTCTGTTTATACATCTTTCTGCAATCGAACATTTAAGCTTCTCTCTCTAGCTTCTAGAATGTATGAAGTAATATATGATGTCACTTGCAGTAATCATGAAGAAAATGGTGAATACATGTCATCTTGGTGTGGATGGCATACTGACCATGGCTCATTGACAGGTGATTTGTCTGATATTTTCATAGTCTTGCAAAAGGATTGATATCATAGTTGTCAGTTCTCTGTCTATCCCTGATCTCTGCTTCAATTTAATTTGTAGGTCTGACATGTGGCATGTTTAAGAGAAATGGTGTACAAATATCTTGTCCTGATAGTGCAGCTGGCCTTTATATAAGAACACGGAGTGGTGAAATCGTCAAAGATGCATTCTTGGTCACAGTTCTCTACTTATCAATATTGCATTGCATGATCATGCAAATTGTTGACGAAAACGGGTAAAGAAAACGAAAGAACACGAGAATTTTACGAGGTTCGGCAATGTGCTTACGTCCTCGGTGCCTAGGCGGCGCTAGAAGTTTTATTCAATGATCTTTTAGGTCTAGGTTACATCTCTATTTATAATAGAAAACTCTAGTACATAATTACAAAATCAACCCTGTACCGTACCGCGGGGGCTGCGCCTCCACACCCCCAACCCACATAATTCGTAACCCCACAACGAGACTTTTTATGAGCCATACATAACAAATCTCCACCTTGGCGAATATCATGCCCCTTGGAAACTTCAATGTGGGTTGGGTTACCTTGCTTCTTTAACAACTCGAAACATTCAACAAGTCCAAGCAATGCTTGAACTTGTCTGTCGTAACTGGCTTGGTGAACATATCAGCGGCATTCTCATCAGTATGTACCTTCTGAAACAAAACCTCTCCAGATGCAACCAACTCTCTGATCTTGTGGAACCTTACATCAATATGTTTAGTTCTAGCACGATACACCTGATTCTTAGCCAAGTGAATAGCACTTTGATTATCACAAAGCAACTGAACTCCACCTTGTTGAACACCCAACTCCTTCACTAAACCAGTAAGCCATAAAGCTTCTTTTGCAGCTTCAGCCGCTGCCATGTATTCAGCTTCAGTTGTAGATAGTGCCACGACAGATTGAACAGTAGACTTCCAGCAAATAGGCCCTCCACCAAGAGTAAACACATACCCTGTCGTAGATCTTCTATTATCCAAGTCACCTGCATAATCTGAATCCACATATCCTACAACCAAAGGATTATCCCGCTGACTCCCAAAAACAATTCCATGTCCCACAGTACCCTTTAAGTACCGAAAGATCCACTTGACTGCATCCCAATGTTGCTTACCAGGTTTAGACATGTACTTACAAACTTGACTAACAGCATGAGCTAAATCAGGACGAGTACATACCATCGCATACATCAAGCAGCCAACAGCATTAGAATACGGAACCTTTGCCATATTTTCAGCTTCCTTATTTGTCTTAGGGCACTGTTCTGATGAGAGCTTAAAGTGATTCGCCAATGGAGTGCTAACTGGTTTCGCGCTGCTCATCGCAAACCTTTCTAGCATTTTCTCAACATAACCCCGTTGAGATAGCCGCAGTTTCCTTGAGTCTCTGTCCCTGCAAATTTCCATTCCAAGAATTTTCTTTGCAGCACCTAAATCTTTCATATCAAATTCCTGACTCAATAAAGTTTTCAAACCGATAACATCATCCATGTTCTTCGCAGCAATCAACATATCATCAACATACAGTAATAGAAAAATAAAAGAACCATCATCAAGGCTCTTAACATAGACACAACAATCATACTCACATCGGTTGTAGCCAATCTTGATCATATAGGAGTCAAACCGTTTATACCACTGTCTCGGAGACTGTTTCAACCCGTACAAAGATTTCTTCAATCTGCAAACTAAATGCTCGTTTCCAGGTTGAGTGAAACCTTCAGGTTGCCGCATGTAGATCTGCTCCTCTAAATCACCATGCAAAAAAGCAGTTTTAACATCCATCTGCTCTAAATGCAAATCCCAACTAGCCACCAATGCAAGTACTGCTCGGATTGAAGTGTGCCTGACCACAGGAGAAAAGATTTCATCATAATCAACTCCTTTCTGCTGTGAAAAACCCTTCGCTACCAAACGAGCCTTGAACTTCTCCCCCTCTTTTTCTGTTACTGCTGGTTTCTTCTTATACACCCATTTGCAACCAATCGGCTTCTTACCCTCAGGAAGGGGAACTAACTCCCATGTGCGATTGTGATTCAAAGACTCCATCTCCTCAACCATGGCTGCCATCCACTTGTCGTTTTCCTGACTAGTAACGGCATCATGAAAAGTAACTGGATCATCATTGCTAACAGTAAGTGCAAAAGATACAAAGTCTTCAAAACCCAATCTGTTCGGAGGCTTTATATTCGTCCGTCTCACCCTGTCTCTGGCGAGACTATAATCCTGCAAATCATCCGTAGTGGAACCACCAGAAGTCGGTTGAGAAGTTTCTGGTTTCTCAACTGGAAACTGCTCGAAATCTACCACTGTCGTGTCTTGCTTCTGCTGCAACATAGACTGTTCATCAAAAACGACATCTCTACTAATCACAACTTTCTTCGCAACTGGATCCCAGAACTTGAATCCTTTGACACCTTTCTTGTAACCCAGAAAAATGCACTCCTTCGATTTTGCATCAAGTTTGGATCTCTCATCAGCAGGTACATGCACATAAGCAGGACAACCAAAAATCCGTAAGTTATCAAAACTAACATCATGACCAGTCCATACCTCTTCTGCAACTTTCCCAGCCAGCGATGCCCTTGGCGATCTGTTGATAAGGTAACACGCCATGTTAACAGCCTCAGCCCAGAAGTGTTTGGGAAGCCCCGCATTCAACCGCAAACATCTGGCTCTTTCATTCAACGACCTGTTCATTCGTTCCGCAACACCATTCTGTTGTGGTGTCTTGCGCACTGTAAAATGCCTCTGAATCCCATGCTCCTTACAGAATTGTAGGAACTGTGAATCTGTGTACTCCGTACCATTATCAGACCGCAAACACTTGATTTTTCGTCCTGTTTGGTTTTCTACCTCAGCTTTCCACAACTTGAACTTCTCAAAAACTTCAGATTTCTGTTTCAAAAAATACACCCAAACTTTCCGTGAAAAATCATCAATAAAAGTAACATAGTACCTAGATCCACCCAAAGACGATGTCGTGGAAGGCCCCCATACATCAGAATGCACATAATCAAGAATCTCTTGAGTTGTGTGCTTCGCAGTCTTGAAACGGACTTTAGTCTGTTTACCAAGAACACAATACTTGCAAAAATCGAGCTTACAGCTTTTGACACCATGCAACAAGTTTCTCTTGTGTAATTCTGCCATACCACGTTCACTAAGATGAGCAAGGCGCATATGCCACAATTTTGTCGTATCATCACAGGACTCAACAGAGTGAACTCCACCTGCAACGGTACTCCCTAACAATCTGTAGATATTCCCTGCAGTCATCTTGCCTTTCATCACAGTCAATGCTCCTTTAACAATCTGAATGGTTTCCCTATCCTCGTCAGCCTTAGGGATAAAACCATTCTTGTGCAAAGTGCCCAAGGAAATCAAATTCTTCTTCAAGTCTGGATATGTCGAACACCACTCAACGTCCGAACGGAGCCATCGTGCATCTTAATTCTGACATCACCAATACCAACAATATTGCAACATCGATCATCACCCAAATAAACCGAACCAGAATTAACCGGCCTGTATGTCGAAAACCATTCCCTATTTGGCGTGATGTGATAAGAACATCCAGAATCAAGAATCCAAGCATCCGTCAATTGTGTCGTTGAAATAGAAAGCATATCACCCTCACTGCAATCAGAAGTATCATCCTCGACCACGTTCACAGACTTGGATGAGCCATCACGCTTCTCATCGGTCTGCTTTTTCAACTTCGGACAGTCTCGCTTCATATGTCCCGCCTCCTTGCACTTGTAACAGTGAATCGTCTTCTTATCCCTGGATTTGGATCTGGAATTCCGCTTCCCGGACCCTGCCTTCTCTGGCTTCCGTCCACGATCTCGATTACCCTTGACATATAAGCTATCGGCTTGAGAGCTTTCCCCTGCATTCTGCTTCCGCTGGTTGTGAGCCAACAAGGCTGCAGTAATCTCCTCAACGTTGATAGTCTCTTTCCCATATGTAAGAGTAGTCACCATGTGTTCGTAAGAGGAAGGCAACGAACACAACAGAATCATCGCTCTGTCTTCATCCTCAATTTTCACATCAAGCCGAGCCAGATCAGAAACGATTTGATTGAAGACATTCACGTGTTGCGCCAAATCGTGATCGTCCTGCATCTTCAGCCCATACAGCCGCTGCTTTAGATACAGTTTTGTCGTTAAGGATTTGGACATAAACTGACTTTCCAACTTCCTCCAAATTTCGTCTGGAGACGATAGATGCATGACGTGATACATGACCTCGTCCGCCAAGCATAATCGTATGGTTCCTGCCGCTCGCTGCTGCAATTCTTCCCAATCTTCCTCATCCATCGACGCCGGCTTTGTAGGCCGCAAAGCCTTCAAGATCCCTTGCTGCGCCAATAGATCCTTCACCCTCGTTTGCCATAATCCGAAGTTACCCTGACCATCGAATTTCGCGACTTCGAATTTTGCTCCTGACATCTGATACCAATTGTTGACGAAAACGGGTAAAGAAAACGAAAGAACACGAGAATTTTACGAGGTTCGGCAATGTGCTTACGTCCTCGGTGCCTAGGCGGCGCTAGAAGTTTTATTCAATGATCTTTTAGGTCTAGGTTACATCTCTATTTATAATAGAAAACTCTGGTACATAATTACAAAATCAACCCTGTACCGTACCGCGGGGGCTGCGCCCCCACACCCCCAACCCACATAATTCGTAACCCCACAACGAGACTTTTTATGAGCCATACATAACACAAATTTATAATGTTTTGTTTTCATCATAATTTCTCATCCAGGACTTGTAGCTTATTTTATTTTAAAAGGCTTTATCATACTCGATGTGTTTAGTGTCAATGGAATAATATTTGAGTTAAAATATTTGAAGTTCCTTCGAGTAAAGAGGAATATTAAATAAAAAAATGCTGGCAAGAATGAGCTTGTTAAGAACTTAAAGTGCTAACATACACAATTTTGAGTTTTTTATGTCTAATCTATTTAACATGAGCTTGTTAATGACTAAAAATTATAGGTACCAATACTACCTTAAAATTGATCATTGTGTCAATTGTCAAAATGGAGAACTTTGTTTTATATTTTTTCTATCAAATGAACAAAGTTTTTCATGGATGAAATATAGAATGACTTCAAAAAATGTAAGTATGCTAGAAGTTGGTGTTTTGTGCATTTTAATTTTACTATGTTCTGTGAATCTTAACTATTCCCTAGCAATTTGAGAAATGCTTGCAGAAGCAATAGTGTGGTTCAATCAATTATTTTTTTTTATCAACTTGTGCTTTTATGAACTAGGCTATTTTTGGAGAAGATGAAATAGCATACCAAATTGGCGAGACCACTGAAATACTTTCTCAAGGTTATCTCTGCGCAACACCCCATTGTGTTCTGGTATTTTCTCCTCTCTCTCTCTCTCTCGCGGAAAAAGGTATATGTTCAGTTTCTATTATCCATTTAACACGTCCTTTATAATATCCTTTATTCTATCCTTTATTCATTGATTCTGTTAGGCAGCAAAAGGGAAGGAGTCTTCTGGCATTGATCGATCAACATTTGCTTTATTTATGCAACCTGATTGGTATGTGTCTATAATGTGTAATACCATGGTTATCGGCTTGATTTATGTGGGATTAATTTAACGGTCGAATAATGCACTATGATGGTGTGTTTCTATGTTTTCTGCTCAGCAGTTGGTTATGTTTTCATGTCATTCTCTGCTGTGAAGAAATTGGTTATTAGCATTTTGTTAGTAAAATCAGCTCCACTTAGGGATGTCTATATTTCGTAATGCAGGGATGAAAAACTCAATTTTCCAGAGGACGTTCATATTCACAAAGAGGTATGTTCTCTTAACTCTTATCATTGTTGGAAGTGAAATTCAATTGCACCGGTTATTGGATTTAGAAGAAACTTAGTTCTAGAAGTCAGCTTCAACTTTGAAAATCATTTGCAATGATATATGGTTATGATCTTAAGGAGAATATTGAACTTTTATGATTTTACGAGTCACCTAAAACGAGGGTGTAAACGAGACAGTGGGAAGGAAAAAAACCCAAAGAGAGAGCTAGCAATAGGCGTTGTCAACTTGAGCAGGCAAGCAAACTCGAACTTGAAACTCTTACAACTTGAGTTTGATTTGAGTCTGATCACATCTTTAGAACCAAAATTAGAAAATGCTAGTATTATTATTAATGTGTAGGGGGTCTTACTCTCGCACGCTAGCTGATGCTCTGAAGTTTTGTTGTTCAATGGTTTCAGCTGATACCACCAAATGGAAGTCTTACTTTTGGAGAGTATTCTGAGATGCTCCTTGACAAATATTACCACAAGAAGACATGAAAATTTTATCCCATAACGCCTATAGGTACACCACAAATACAATAATTGATAATATTTGCTTTTGTAAGCTTCTTGTTCTTTTCATAAGAACAAAACGAACTTATAGCCCATGGGTGCAATTTGATTTATATATGCATATATTGGTCTACCCATCTTCTATGATCATGAAGACCAGGTGGATACACAGTGGCAAATGGCTGTAGTTATTGCAAGCGGCGGCAGTCAAAGATATGAAAATCTGATTGAAGTCTACTGTCTTTCTATTAGGATATAGGGACGGGCATGGCCCGGGTCGGGGCTAACCAAACCTGACCCAAGCATTCTAACCCTACATCGGTCACTCGACCGACTCGATTTTAAAGAAACTCCATTAAACCTGAAACTAGATTTAATTTTCGATAAAAATCCACACTTGACCTAATACATATATATATATATATATATATATATATATATATATATATATATATGTAATTATATGTTTATTAGGTAAAATATAGATTAAATTGGAAAAAAATATAAAGGTATATTATTAAAATCATTCTTGAATATATAAAAGGTGATTATATATTATTCTCTCATGTCAAATTAGATATTTTCATCACCTAATATTATGAGAACTCGAATCTAAATATATTTTTAAAAATCCCGACTTAATAAAAGTGGGTCCGAACTTGTCTATTTTGGGTCTTGTATCCATTAGTAAATGTATAAGGCTGGCCGGCTGGCTTACAGCATATATAAAATAAATAATTAACATATCAAAATGATGAATGAAAAACATTTAAACTATATCTACGTACCTATGAACCTAAAAAAGGATACTACGTACCAGTCTGTCAATATTTTTTTTTGATAAATCAAATTTTATTATCTAAAGAGCAGTATTTTGTTACAAAATCAATCAATCATTCAATAACAAAAAGAACTATTAACAATCTACTTACAAAATCAAAGATCGGTTAGACTATACCCTATGCATTACAAAGATTATAATTAATATTATAAAGTCTATTAATATTTTTCCCCTTAAGTCGAATCCCCACAGCTTCTTTAATAGCTTTGAGCATGTCTTCGATCGTTCTATAACGGCCTTGAAAAATTCTCTGATTTCTTTCCTTCCACAAAATGTAAATATAAGCAGTCAAAGAGATCTTCAAAATTGTGGTGAGAAGTGACCTCCATTTCCATGTTGAAGTAGCTCGTGCAACCATGTCATCCCATGCCAAGTTTGTAGTCTTCAACCCGCTGATAAACATAATAGAATTCCATAGACAAACTGCCAGTGAACATTAAGAAAAAAGATGGTTCCGTGTCTCCTGTTCAATGCTGCAATTAACACAATTCCTTCAGTGGTGATTCCCATATTAAGCAACATATCTCTTGTAGGTAATATGTCCAGCATAGCCATCCAAGCAATCAAACTATATTTTGGTATGTGTATAGGAAATCAGATTAGTTTATGCCAGGAAACTTTCTACCCTTTCAATCGAATCGCTTCCCAAATGCCTCTTAACTGTAGAGAACTAGAAGAAGAAAGAATTGGGTAAGCTGCAGAACTCATTTTTAATATTCTGTTAACACTCCAGTTAACATTAGCATCTGCAACAAAATTTATTAATATTATGTTTGAATAATAGTGTTTTTTTTTGTTTTATATAAAATTTAAACTATACTACGTACCTATAACCCGATACAATTGAAATGAAAAAGAAGATGCAAATTTGCTTGATGAATTAAGAATCCTGAATCAATATAAACTCGACAATTACCGAATTAAAACACAACTCGAGAGTTAATTGGTTAGAGTTTAGAAGTTTAATAACAACAAGTATGACAACAGAATGTCGTGTAGAAGCTCTTGTTTTTCTTTCTGTAATCCCATTCACATTCTCAGAGCAATATTCTATTCTCTCTACCGAATCAAGCCGTTTACACTTTCGGCAGTCGAAAGTAAACGAAAAACGACAACGTTTGCCAAAAAAAAAATTTGTCCACGAGGGTGCCAACGTCACGGGTAGGCAAGAATTCAAGGTGGTGGGGAGTTTAGTGCATCTGGTTCCTCCCCTACCCGACTTTTCCTCCTTGGTTTGGGGCCCTTTTTGTAGGATAGTTAACTAACGCGGCATCCCATCTAATATAATTTTTTTATTTAATTATCAATATCTAATTTATTAATTAGTTGATTTAAATTAAATATTTATAAATAAATTTATTTATAATTCTTCATATATTCACGTAAGTTCTTGTCTACTTTCTATATAGTTATGTGGATCACTCTAATAACCTCAATTAAATAACCCCTCTCTATATTTATTATTTTACACATTGTAAAGCCTAATTAGGCCACATCATAATAATTTAATAAAAATGCTAAAGGACTAACGTGATAAAGTTGAGGCATCAAATTGACCGAAGAAATAATGAGAGGAACAAAGTAAAATTTGGTTTGATTATAGTATAGGGACCATTTTTGATATTAAGCCAGATAAATATTATGTATTTAACTTCTAAAATAAAGTTATATATATTTTGGTCAGCTTAAAAGCAGTGTACTGCCTTCGTGGTCTAAGGCAAGAGAATCAATCCTTAACCAACAGAAAAATTCCATCACACACAGTCGGCTCTTTCCACCATGTCTACAACAACCCCATACTTTGCTTCGGGCTCCAAATCGAATCCTCAGAAACCCAGTTTCCGGAAGCGTTGTTTGTTGATGGCAAAGCAGCAGAAAACTCGGTTTTACATCTTGGGACGTTGTATCTCCATGCTTTTGTGTTGGCATGAATGAACGATCATTCCTTTCTCGGACCGAGATATGTTGATGGAAACAATTAGGTTACGATGATTATAAATGGTTCATCTCCTTTTATTTGAGCTAAAAATCGTATTCGATAGATGTCAACGTCATTTATCTCCATTAGAAGGTAGAGAGATAAATGAAGAAAAAGGTTTTTTTTCTCAGCTTTAGTTTAGGGGTTTTATACCAACTGTTAGCGTTACTATATCATACGTAGAGTCATAATGGTCAATTGACAATAGATTTAGTTCTATTAAATCGTATGCGTATATTACAAGGTAATCTCAAGAGAATATGGCTTCGTAAGAGATGTTAAGTATTTACAGTCCGTTTTCAAAAATGTTATTTCGGGATTTTCCGAAGCCCTTGAGGTGTATAAGAGATCAGAGACAGGGAGATGCTATTGAGTCTTCTAGAACTCTTGAGGTGCGAAGATATGTTCTACGGAGGAGCTCTAAGAGGGATACGACAAGATTCTAACTGTTTGATTCGTGGGCATAATCGATATATCCGTCGAAACTCAAAAGATGAATTCAGATTTTCGAGTTTCCGATCACGACATGAGACGAGGAGTCTGAGGAGGAAGAAGGAATTCAAGCGACGGAGCTGTGTTTTGATTGTGGTCTCTACTGCTGGAAAAACAGGATTATGGAACGAGGACTAACCATGGGGTTTGGCAGAAACCAGAGGAGCAAAACTGTAAATATCTATTTTTTGCTTCTTCAAGTTTGTCTATTACTCCAATGAAAATATTGATGAATGAAACTGTAAAGGGTAAACATGTAATTTTTTCATATAGTTGATGGGCCTATACCCAGTTACAGTTTACGACTGTGTTCGTGTTTGTTTATTTTGATTTTGTTTCATATTTAATTTTCTGTTATGTTTTTATTTAAAAGTTTAATTGAGTTGACGATAATGATTAATTAAATATGAATTTTGTAATATTTTATTAACGGATTTATCATTAGGAGTATATATTGCTGATGTAATAAAATTAACCCATAATTTTCCTACAAATTTATTGTGTTTTCTCCAACTAACAGACTTTCTGTAACAAATAAATATAAGGGCAGTATACCACAATCTTGGATCGATTTTCGTAGATACATGAAAGATAACACAATGTCTCACGCCAATAATGCTTTAAAATCTCCTAATATAATGTAAGCCTTTTTCGAGTCAATTGCATTGCCTCTCCCATCCATGGCTTCTTGTGTTCAAGAGCTTCATTTCTCTCACATGAATATCCCTATAACCGTTGATCGAATGATTCCGGTCTTGCCGGCCGGTCCCATTCCTGCTGTCCTTGGGAGCAGGCTATACTTGTCGAACCTTGATAACATGATCGGAGCTCGTGTTTTCACTCCGACCGTGTACTTTTACGGATCGAAAGATGTGAGTTCCAATGGAAAACCAGTCGTGAAAACTTTGTGTGATGCACTAGCCAGAGTTTTGGTTCCTTATTATCCTTTATCCGGTCGGCTCAGAGAGGCCTCGGATGGGAAACTCGAAGTGTTTTTCGGACGAGAACAGGGTGCACTAATGGTGGAGGCACACTCTGATATGGCTTTAGCGGAATTAGGCGACCTCGCTGTGCCGAACCCGGCATGGGCTCCGTTAAACTACAGGTTCCCGGATGAAGAGCCGTATAAAGTCCTTGACATGCCATTAGTGATAGCTCAGGTGACCCTTTTTGCTTGTGGTGGCTTTAGCCTTGGTCTTAGACTTTGTCATTGCATATGTGATGGTGTTGGTGCTATGCAGTTTCTTGCTGCATGGGCTGCTACTGCAAAAACAGATACATTGGTAACAAACCCGGAGCCCTGTTGGGACAGAGAATTTTTCCGGCCCCGAAATCCACCGACGGTAAAATACCAACATCCCGAGTTCATGAACATCGAAGAAGGTTCGAGCTTAACAGCGAGTTTATGGGAATCCAATCCTGTTCAAAAGTGTTACAAGGTTAGCAATCAGTTCCAAGCTCAACTAAAATCACTAGCTCAACCGAACGACATGCTCAGCTGCTCCACCTTCGATGCGATGGCGGCTCACGTTTGGCGATCATGGGTAAAAGCACTCGATGTAAAACCACTGGACTATGAACTTAGGCTCACGTTCTCGGTCAATGCTCGTCCCAAACTGAAAAATCCACCATTGAAAAAAGGATTTTATGGCAATGTAGTTTGTGTGGCCTGTGGAATGAGCACGGTTTACGATCTCATCAACGGTAGTCTCTCAGATACCGCTCGATTGGTTCGCCATGCCAGACTCGGTATATCGGAGGAATATGTAAGGTCAACTGTTGACTATATGGAAATTGATAGGGCTAAAAGGCTTGAATTTGGAGGGAAACTGACTATAACACAATGGACTAGATTTTCATTGTATGAATCTGCTGATTTCGGATGGGGCAGACCAATCTATGCCGGTCCGATCGACCTGACCCCGACACCACAGGTTTGCGTGTTCTTGCCTGACGGGACTGCTGAATCGGGTGGAGCAACGGTGGTTTGCATCTGCTTGCCTGAGTCTGCCACCCATAGATTTACTGAGTTTTTATGTTGGAAGGATTTCATTTCGTATGAATGAACAATTTTATAATATATTTGACATAATTGCCAATATATTAACTCGGTTATTTGATTATTTCGTAACAATTTTAATATTTGCAGCAATAATTTTTAATTTCTCATATGTGAACCAAGGTTTAATTATCACATTAATTTTGTAGTTATTTAATATTACTTTTCTATTATTCTTTATTTGACATATATAATGTTTAAATTACTCTAACCCCATAATCGATCCATAATTTTATAGATATCACCACTTTAATAAGGACAATTAAAGTATTAAACTAATTCTTAATCAATATATTAAAAAATATCTAATGGGCAATAAAAAGTATTTTTGATAGTTCAAATTTTTTTCAAAAAATTATTCTTTTTATATAAATTATAAACAAAAATAATTGTTCGATACATTATAAATAAAAATATTATAAATAATCTTTAAATACTTATAAAATTAACTTTCACTACATTGAACTAATGGTCTTTTATTGTAGATTGATAATAAAGGGTAAACTACTTATTTGGTTACTCACTTTTTTTATATGCTTGTTTTTGTTTATTTAACTATTTTCTAAATTATATTTAATTTTATATTTTATTCATCTATCGATAAAATATTAACGATGCACGAACCAAGTCATCTCGGTGGTAAAAGAATTATTGTTATTTCTTAAGGCCTCAAGTTCGAGCGCTATGAATGTTAGTGGTGTAAATCTTAAATGTCAAATGGCTGAGAGTTATATTAGACCAGATATTGCCTTGTACTATCCCAAATTAATCAATATATATTTACCAACAGAGGTTGGTTCAAGTTGTAAGCCGCTTGATATCGCTTAAGCAAGGTTTCAAGTTCGAGTCCTTATGTATGGAAAAAAAAATCTACTAGGAGACTCACCCACCAAAGCCAAATGTGCAACATGGGTCGATTCAGACTAGTCAAGACAAAGTCTTAGAATTAGGAGGGCAACAAAAAAAAATAACAATGATATTAACGTGATATATATTATTAACTTTTAATATCATATGACTAAAACAAAAATATAGGAATATTTTTGTGACTAAATAGGTATTTTACCCTAATATAAAATAGAGCCGTGAGTCACCGAGCCGTAAAGTTATCTCGAAAAGCACTATAGTTGTTTTGATAGTGTTTGAAGGTCGGTCACAACAACAAAGCAAACAAAGTCTCCAAGTACTCCATTCTCTCTCCCCTCTCTTTCTCTTTGCTTCAATCCATTTTCTATTTCTTATTTTCTTCTTTTCCTTTTAGTATCGAATCCACAAAATTAACTTGTAATTTAAAAGAAGAGAAATCAAGCTCAAGTCGCACACACCGGGAGCCGGATCTCGTTTTTTCCGATCACGATTTAGGGTTAAATTGATTAGAAAAGACAAAACGAACTGGCCGGAGTGGCAGATTTGGTAATTACGGTTAGAAGCTGGGGGCTAATCAGTCTCTTTCTCACCGTACCCACCCCGCTCCCCGTGTGGGACTCTGGTACTTCCTCCGCCCCAACAATGCTCCTCCTCTATACACTCTCCAATACCTGGACTCCGTGACGACGCGACCCTTGCCTACGAACCGATCCGATCCCAGACCCACTTCATCCATGGACCAACACCATCATCAGTCAGCAAACCCTCCTCCCCAGGAAGAGCCGGAGTACCTTGCCCGTTACATCGTCATCAAGCACTCGTGGCGCGGTCGCTACAAGCGAATCCTTTGCATTTCGAATGTCGAGATTATCACGCTCGATCCGTCAACTTTGTCAGTAACGAATTCGTACGATGTCTCTACTGATTTTGAAGCCGCCACGCCAATTATCGGCCGGGATGAGAATTCTACTGAGTTCAATTTGAACGTGAGGACCGATGGAAAAGGGAAATTTAAGGCGATAAAGTTTTCGTCACAGTATCGGGCTAGTATTTTGACTGAATTGCATAGGATAAGAAGACATCGGTTGGGAGCTGTGGCGGAGTTCCCCGTGTTGCATCTACGGAGACGCCGTGCTGAGTGGGCCCCTTTTGTAAGTTTTGCTAGATTTAAGTTTTGCTCTTGCATTTGTTGATTGACTTTGTGAAGTGTTAAAATTTGGATTTCTGATGAAGTTAGTTACTAGTTTAACTGAATTTGGCTCGTCTTTAGATTATTCTTTAACAGCTTTATTAGTTAAATGTATATTAAACTTCTGTAGCTTTGATTTAGGCTTTGTAAAATTATCAAACAATTTTTCGGCTTCTGTGATAATGGGAGAATGATGCAAAGATACATAGATGCTGATCAGAGGATTGAAGTGTTAGGATTTCATTTTATTAATTAATTAGTATTTTTTGTTATATAGGGTTTAGGGTTTAGCCTAGAATTACTTATGCCGTATTAGTTTCTGGTAGCTTTAAAGGATTCCGATTTACTGGGCTTGAGTTATTGAAATTTTGAGTGTGAAAGTTGACAGTTGGAGATAATAAGGCCTAGGGTTTGACTATTGACTATTGATATTTGAGATCAGAGATTTTGATCATTGAGATAAGATGTTCTCATATAATTAACTGGAAATTATCTTGTTCTAGGATTAATTGAATCCCTAAAAAGAAGAGATATTCTTATAACTATCTATTGTATCTATTTACTGCTGGGTGCTTCAGATATATGTGTTAAATTTTCATATTCAAGCTTCTAAGTTCTAACAACTGATTGTCTCTACAGAAATTGAAGGTCACATATTGTGGGGTTGAACTTATAGACTTAACAACTGGATACCCTCGCTGGTGTTTAGATTTTAGAGATATTTCTTCCCCAGCCATTGTTCTATTGACAGATTCTTATGGGAAGAAAAACGTTGATCATGGTAGTTTCGTTCTTTGCCCTTTGTATGGGAGGAAATCTAAAGCCTTTCAAGCTGCTACAGGGACCACAAATTCTGCTATCATTTCAAATCTGGTATAGTAACTCCTCTAATTTACTTTCGTTATTTTTTTTACGTTGGTTTCTTTTGAGAACTTAAATTTGAAAGAAGTGATTTGTATTTCTATTTAATACAAATTTAGGAGAAAGAATACACTTTCTTGATTACATTCAAGTTCATGAATTTTCTAGGTCTCTTCATTAATGAATTTGAAATACCTTAATATTTCACGAAACTTGAAATCCTTCAAATATACTTTTCCAAATACATAAATTTATTGAGATTTCCAAATGCATATAGTTTTAAGTTTTAACTAGTTATTAGATAATGGTTACTTCTATCCAGCACTACTTATAAAAGATGGGAGAGAGAAAAGTAGAGAGAGAGAGAGAAAAGTTGAAACGGAAAATAGGTTCAGGCGAGGTCTGGAAGGCTTTTGTCGATAATCTAAGTAGGAGAGTTTCTCGGCGTGAGCTTAGAGATATTTTTTCGTCTCAGGGAACTGTGGAGAGAGTTTTCATCCCGAAAGAAACTAAAAACCCAAAATATAGATTTTCCACTTTCGCTTTTGTTCAGTTTGAGAGGGAATCTGGTTTGAGGAGAGCAATTGATATGTTAAATGATTCACTGATAGATGGGAGAAGGATTTCAGTTGGTGTTGCAAAATACAATGAAGTTCGTCCAAGGAATGTGGCCAAGAATAGTTCAGTTCAGTTGGGTCCAGTTTCGTTTACAGCAGGTCCTTCAAAGTTGAAAGAGGCTGATTTTTCCAGTAGGAGTGTTAGGGATGACAGATCGTACAAAGAGGCTTTACTGACTGAGGATATGAGGAACAATACATTGGGGTATAGGGAGACACATTCTGTTGGGAATCAAAGGGAGAAAGCATTGAAGAATGTTATGGAAATGCATATTCCCTCTGAGAATCGGAACTGGTTTAAAAGATCTTTAACAGGGATTTTTAAGCTCTCTTTAGATATTAAGTCAGTAGAGGAGTTCTTCATTACTAATGGTTATGAAGTTCAGATTGTTGGTTGGGGTTATGTCCGTAATTCCTGTGTTATCATTTTCAAATCTCTCGAAGAGATGATGGAGGCATGAACAAAGAAGAGAGATGTAATAAACTTTTGTTTTGATAGATTAGCACCTTTACTGAATGAAGAAGGTGTTCCAATGGCTTATTGTCAGCTTGAGTTAAGTGGGGTTCCTCTGTTATGTTGGGATGAATCCTTCTTGGAACGAGCTGTTGGGAGATGGGGAAGTATGGTAGAAATCCATGAGTCCACTAAGAACAGGGAGGATCTCTCGTCTGTGAGGATTCTTTTGCGAGTTGCAAGTCCTTTCGATGTTCCAGAATTCACTAATTTTGGATCCTATGGCAGATCGTATCGGATTAAGATCAAAGTTGGAGCGGGCTGGGAAAATGCAAATCCTTTTTTCAAATTTTTTCCGGTGATCGGTGCAGATGGGAAACAGTATGGCGAGTTGGGGTCTGAGGAAGGTAGAGTCAGGGAGAAGTCGGAATATGAGGAAAGTTCAGTCAAATCAGCAGAGATGTTCAGACAGAAGGTTGACTTGTGGAATGATGATGGTGTTTCTTTCGGCACAGCACAGTCTGATGGGGAAATGCACTTTCCAAGACTTTCTAAACATGGGAAAGGCATTAAAAGAGGGTTGTCAGGTGTTCAGAATGGTGGGAATACCATAGTAGGTGAGTTTGCAGGTTTGGGCATCAGAAATTTAAATATTTCGGCTAATGGGCTGGAGGCCCTATCTGTTGATAATGAGCTGACTGGATCGGAGGCTTCAAAGTTTTTTCCTTCTGGGCCAGGATATACAATTAACAAGTTTGGTAAACTGGTTAAAAACAGGGGAATTATAGAGGCTAGCAGTGTTAAAAACAAGAATAAAGGGACCAGTTGCATTTCAGCTTTTTCTGCCAGTGTAGATATTGAGGTTCATGATCCTAATTTTTCGCTGATAGTTCCTAACTCGAATTGTTTGAAGAGCCAGTTAAGAAATAAAGCGATGGTGGTGCATAGAAGCTCGCTATCCACAAAAAGTGAGCCTCTACAGAGAAAGAGAATGGCCAGTTACAGCAAAGTTTATAGGA